TGTCACGACTAAGTACCATAAACCTAACACCGGTGACTATGCATGCGGTGTAAGAATAAGCATTCATTTGCGGACCCATTGCAAGAGCCGACAACTCTTTGTGGAATTCTGGAGAGTTTTCTATTTTCATTTGATGAACCTAGCAAATATAAAGTAATATGTATTATGTATTCTTCATATCAATGAAACAAATTTGTTTATTAATTTATGTTACCTTTTCACGAAACAAATTACGAAATTCTCTCTTTTCATCACTTTGGGGATGTTCAGATTTGAATTTCCTACGTTGATAACAAAAAGATATAGATTTAAAAAGATAAAAAAAATTGAAGGATGAAAGTTAGAGATAAGAATAGTTACTTAATATAATGTGTGACTTCTTCATAGCTATTCAATACAAACCATTCCATGTTATGCATTTTCGTTAAATTAAGAGTTTTGATTTGAGTTGTGCTGGTCGGTCGACATTTAGACTCAAACATCCAAAACTTTGTTTTTCAATGACAACATCTACATTTCTTTCCGGACGATTGAATTGATTCTTTACATCTCGATGGTACATCGAACAAAATGATAAAGCTTCTTCAGTAACATAACCCTCAGCTATAGAACCTTCCGGCCTCGCCTTGTTTGTGACATAGTTTTTTTGTTTTTTCATATACCTTTCGAAAGGATACATCCATCTCATACATACCGGGCCTTCGGCAATCACTTCATCAGGTAAATGCAAAAGTAAATGAACCATAATGTCAAAAAATGTTGGAGTATAAATCAATTCTAACTTGCACAAGATTGCAATAATGTCTACTTTTGCTTTTCTCATATCCTCCACCTTCAATGTTCTGGAACAAAGTTGCTTCAAAAACATACAAAGGTCTACAATAAGTGTATAAGTGTCTTTGTCTAACAACCCTCTAACTCCAATTGGTATCAAACATTGCATAAGAATGTGATGGTCATGTCCTTTCAACCCAATAATGTTAGTATTGGTATCGTTCACTTTCTTACTGATGTTAGAACCAAACCCATCCGGCAGTTTAACATCTTTTATAAATTGACAAAAGAGTTGTCGACTAGATTTCGTGAAAGAGTATTTTGCATGGGGTCTATGAAACTTGTCACATTTTTTTGCAACCATTCATTTCTCCGAATGTTTAGAATTCTCAAGTCCTCTCGTGCATTTGATGTGTCTTTACTTTTATCGTTCATTAGAAGAGTACGTAACAAACTCGCGTCCACATTTTTTTGGACATGCATGAGATCTATGTTGTGTTTCAACTGTAGAGAAGACCAATACTCGAGTTCGAAGAAAATGCTTCGTTTCGACCAGTTCAACTCGTCATCTTGCCGCTTTGGCTCCCCACCTCCATGCTCAGGATGTTTACCCGGTTTACGAGTTCGTAGACGACCTAGTTGCTCTTGTATGTCGTCATTAATAAAGTCTCTCAGAGAGGGTCTTGTCTCCTCCATCCCATTAAATTCCAACCTCTTTCTTAACGGATCATTAGCATCTAGGAAACGATGATGACTGATATATATATGACTTTATTTGTTGCACGGTATGAAGGAGTGTCTTCATTGCAAGTAGCATATGCTCTATACCCTTGCCCACTCCAAACTGATAGACTACTACGAGCTGGCCAGTCGTTTATTGTCCAAAACAACATAGCTCTCATCGTGAAGAACGTGTTTGTCGCTGCATCTTTAATACGTACGTCTAAGTTCCACAAATGTTTAAGCTCTTCCACCAACGGCCTAAGGAAAACATCCATATCCTTACCAGGAGCTTTCGGACTGGGAATCAACAAAGTCAATATGAATGATGACTCTTTCATACAAATCCAGGGTGGCAGATTATATGTGGTGAGTATGACCGGCCATGTGCTATGTGGATTACACATGTTTCCAAATAGATTAAAACCGTCAGCTGAAAGACCTAGGCGTACGTTACGGGGTTCACTCGAGAAGTCGGAGTATTTTTTTTATCAAAATCTTGCCAATGTTCCCCATCAACAGGATGACGCATCACACCATCTTCTGAACGTCTGGTACTATGCCAAATCATATTTTTGGTAGTGTGCCGCGAACAATATAAACGTCGTAGTCTAGGGGTCACAGGAAAGTACCGTAACACCTTATGAGCTACTTTCTTACCCTTGATGTTTTTATCGATCCATCAGCTCTCTTTACAAACAGGACAAACTTGCAATGAATCGTGTTCTTTCCAAAAGAGAAAACAATCGTTTTTGCACACATGTATCGACTCATACCCCCCAAACCAATAGACTTCAGTTTCTTTTTGGCTAGATAATGTGAAAGGGAACCTTGTTGCCTTTGGGAAATGTTGATTGCAACAACTCAAGGAGTTGATCAAATGAACTATCAGTCCATTTGTTGTTCACCTTGATATGCATTAACTTTGCTAGAAACTCAAGGGAAGAAAAGGTGCAACCAGGATACAATTTAGTTTCCACTTCTTCTAACAACTGTGAAAAATCATCATCCACACCGCTACCCCATGTATTCGAGGTTCCTTCATCGAGGTTGGTATCATTTTCTCTCGACTCCCACATCACATCGTCGACTAAATCGTCCATTTCGTTACTTGGCAAGACGACTGGAGGAATAAAAGATTCACCATGATAGATCCAAGTTTTGTACGACTTACCGAAACCATTTATAAATATATGGCGTTCCACTACAGTCGGGTACTTGAAGTAACAATTATCACATTTTTGACATGCACATTTGATTTTACTATTACTATCAAGGTGTGACTTGGACTTCTCGATAAAAACTTTGAGTCCTGCTTGGAACTCGGGATAGTTTCGATGTAGATTAGTAGTCCAGCTTTTATCAATAGACATGATGTTGCTGAAACATAATTTCGGGTTTAGAGTTTAGTATACAGAATTAGCATTATTTTTTTACAATCCACATTATTTTTTTACAATTATAGCATTGTACTTTAAACAGTTATATGTGACTCACAAAAGTAGATATTAAAGTTTAAAAAAATTAAAAATTAAAAAAAATTAAAATTAAAATTTTTTATTTATGCATTTTTGTTTAATTAATTTTAATTACAATCACTTGTAATTGATATAGGCAAAAGTTGTAAGTATTAAATAAAAGGGTGAAATATCCAACGAATCAAATTTTTCCACATGTTTGTTTTATTTATAGTAGATGTACAGATATACACATGATTATTGAAAAAAAAATTGTTTGATTCTTTTAAATGATAACATTTAGGGTTAGTTTGGGAACAAACTAGAAACTTTCTAGTATTTGTATATAACATTTTAACCAATTTTATAACATTTTTTTTTGTTTTTCTTTTCAATGATAACAATAATTTTTTTTCCAATTATAGCATCCTACTTATACCAAAACCACATACTTTCACATAATACATAAGAGCATCAAATACACATACTTTCACATACATATACCACACATACACCAAATACAAATACATTCACATACATACATAATAACATCCTACATAGACCAACTACACATACTTTCACATATATAGATAATAACATCCTATTTATACCAAATACACAAATTTCACATTCGTATACAACATATATAACAAATATACATACATTCACATACATACATAATAACATCCTACTTATACCAAATACACATAATTTCACATATGAACATCATACTTCTACCAAATACTTTTATACCACATATACATCAAACACACATTTATTGACATATATACACCAAATTTACATAGATTCACATACAAATATCAAATATACATACATATGGCAATTTTCAAAGAATTGATACAACTACACATATTTTGCAATTAAACTAAATTTTCATAATAAATAGAAGTAAATAGAACCTGTGGTGGCGGAAATCAATGAAAAATGGTCCAGTGGTGGCGGTAGTCGCGGGTGGTGGTCGGGAACGTAGCAACACAATCAACAAAACTGAAATTGACAATTTTTTGCAATTAACCACTCCAATAAACTTAAAATCGATGTTACAAGAGAAAAGGGACCGGACCTGGAAATAGCTTGGTGTCGCCGGAAAAAGTTTGGTGTCGCCGGAAAAAGCTTGGTCCTCACTGGAAAATCTTTCTCCACCGGTGGTATTTTCTTTGTGGACAATTTCACACACCCAAAATTGATAAATGTCACTGGTATCCCACAATAATCGACGAAGTAAAGATACAGACGAAGAGAAGAGAAACAGGCGAAGGGAGTGAAACAGAAGAGCAAAAGGAAAAAAGATCGAGTTTTTTGGGGTTAACTTCGTCGGCCTTTAGCGGCGACACCTTTACCGACGACTAATTGGGCTTTAGTGGCGACAACTATCAATAGCGGCGACGATCATGAGGGAATTATTGTCGCGTCATTTTATTATCTTCAGCGGCGACTATTTTGGATCTTCAGCGGCGACAAAAGTCGCCGGTATTTCCTTTATGTGTTCCACGAGCACCCTAGCCGTTGGATTAGAACCACGATCGGACGATTCGTGTTTACCAGAACGTCAAAGAGCGGATCGGTGTCATTCAGCCTTTAGCGGCGACACCAATAGTAGCGACATAGGCCTTTAGCGGCAACTATTTAATTTGTCGCCGCTAAAGCTCCATGTCGCCGCTAAAGGCTCTATTTCTTGTAGTGTGACCGTATTTTTGCACAAATGATTATTTTAAAAGAATAATAAACGTTTTAAAAAAAAATTAATCTTTTAATTAAAAGAGAGATATTTTAGTAAGGGACAAAATATTCAGACTAAACTGTGGCGACCATTCAGGTAATTTCATCTAATTTGCAATTTTGCTTTTGATCATTGAAATATATGAAATTTGTGACATATTTCATATTTATAAAATGGAAATGAATGATAACAAGTAAAACGTGGATACCTACGTGGAATCTATTGAAAAATTAACGTGCTATAGGACTCTTTTGTCCACAACTTCTTATATCAACTTTAACGATTAGAGACTATATCCAGAAACTCTTATGGTCGGTTTAACACTAAATTGCACAAGTAACAACACTAGTCAGCCGGAAGTCGTCCCATCATCAGTGGGAACCTGTTTCATTTTGTTCATGGCGCCATACACTTCACTTCAATTCATAAGGTATAATATTTACATTCCCACGCTTCCACCATTAGATTTTGTTATTCGTTCCTATGAAAAGTAACCGGTGGATAGTATCATTTATATTAAATGCAACATTATATTGTCCATTTTTGTCCAGAATTGATCGAGGATTACATAATTATTTAAACTTGAGGAACATGTCAGCTTTCATAAATAGAGCCCATATTTTGGAAATTCGATCACTGCAATTTCTTCATTTGTGCATGTAATGGGTGGTGGTTGATGACAAATTATTACCACTGTGCTAGTGATGGTTTTAACTTATAAATCTCGTTGTATGGAAATTAACCTGTGTATATAATTTATTTATTTTTACTTTTTGCTTAGAAGCACTATGAAACCACAGTCACTATCTTATCTTCAACAATGGATCCGCTTTAACAACTGGGGCAGTGTCGTGTTTTTATTGCTGCTAGTTTTCTTGGAGGTTACTGAATCACGGTTCTTGGTTAAGACTCTGCCAGGTTTGCCTGGCGATCTTCCTTTCACACTCGAAACTGGGTAAGACCCTGTCCTTTGAAATAAAAATGTGTTGATTTAATTTACTAAGGTTTCATTATATATGACTAAATGCAAGAAATAACATATTTCTAATCTAGTATAAAACTATGCTTTCAATTTTATTAAGTCATTATATTCTGAAAAATCTACACCAATTTAACTTTGTACCTTTAATCATTTTCTTACTAAAATTGTTTTTTTTTTTTTTTGATGACCTTTTTATAACCAGATAGATTTTTTCAAAGTACAATATTATAGGAAAATATGGAAGTAGAATGTTATATTGAACATATTCATTTATGCCGTTGCTATTTCTTGCATTTAACCTTTGTGTATATTTATTGTTGTTATTATTATCCTTTATTCAGTATGAAAGATATACTAACTCTTAAGACAACAATATGGTTTAAGTTACATTGGGGTAGGAGAATATGATGAGGTGCAACTATTTTACTATTTCGTTGAGTCGGAGGGAAACCCAAAAGACGACCCTCTCATGCTTTGGCTTACAGGAGGGCCTGGCTGTTCTGGTCTTTCTGGCCTTTTGTATGAAATAGGTACTTCTAAGATCTGAAGTTGTTATTTGCAAACAAAGAGTAAAATTTGATAGTACTGTGAAGTGTGCGGGTTATTTACATTATTTGCAAACAAAGAGTAAAATTTTCATTCACCATCATTCAAAAGGTTCTTTCAGTGAATTTTAAGATGACAATCCCATGATTTAGTCAAAAATGATTCTTCATATGCCTTAGAAGTGATGGAGAACAAAACGGTGTTGTTAATTTTGTTTATTACTTAATTCATGTGTGTCATGGTAGATTTTATTTAAAAGTTCATGGCAATTAATGTGTAAGGTTTCACATACTCTCTGTTAACTTAATATGCCAATATCATAAACTAATGCCAATTTATGTGTATTTCCATCATAAATTTAGATAGATTTTATTTAACTTCTTGCTGGTTGTAGGCCCGTTCACTATTAACTATGTAAATTCCACTGTGGAGAACGTAATGCTCGAGATAAACCCTCACAGTTGGACAAAGGTATCCTTTTACTTTTCGATTTCATTTTAAAATTTCCAATATGTTTGATGTCAACAAGCCAATGAGTAGAAGTTTCTTCATGATATACCTAATGAAACAAGTGTTACATTTAAGGCTGCGAACATTATATTTCTTGACCAACCTGCCGGGTCTGGATTCTCCTATGCAAAAACTCCCGAAGCTTATATAACAAATGATACATTATCAACAGTGCAGATTTACGAATTTCTAATGAAGGTAAGGATAACGTAGTTAATTTCCTGATGAATCTAAAGGATTACTTTTACATATTTGAAGGCATACTCACATCTTCAATTTGTGTCTTTAAAATTTGTTTTAGATACGAACTAAGATCATTAATGTTTTCTTGCAATGTCTATTCAAATTAACAGTGGCTTGTGGACCATCCTACATTTCTCAAAAATCCATTATATATTGGTGCCGACTCCTACTCTGGCCTAGTGGTGCCAATGATTGTTTTGGAAATATATAACGGTATATTCAAATACTTGCTATAGAGATGGTTTCAAAAACACAAGTATATGATTCACTAAATTTTACAGCCATCTTTTTTATTCTGCTAAGCATCTTTTGACTAAATAAAGTCTTTCTTGTTTTCCTCTTTTGTAGGTAATGAAGTTGGAGAAGGGCCACAGATCAACATCAAAGTACGAATTGATCGATCAATCATTTGAAAAAATGTTGGTGTGCATGACTTGATTTGAAAAAGCTTTGCCTGATATATTTATGTTTGTTTTCAAACATAGGGGTATGTGATTGGTAATCCTCTAGCAGACACAAATGGTGCCTACAATTCAAGAATACCATTTGCTCATCGTATGGCACTTTTATCAGATGCAATCTACAATGTAAATAACTACACTTGAGTTGTCTGCCAATACATAATTGAATATGTCAAGGAATTAAGTAAAGTGCATGTTTTTTTGCAGTCAACTAAAGAAACTTGTCATGGAGAGTACTTAAATGTAGATCCCAACAATACTCTATGCATACATGATCTTCAAGTGGTAGATAAGGTACCAGAGTAGACTTCAACTGGATCTTATACTATCTGTTAGCTAATAATTCACAATCTTTATATTTCTGTTTAATTAAGCTTTATTATTTCGATTTGCAGTTCCTTGAAAGAATTTGCATGCCCCACATTTTAGAGCCCGTTTGTGACACTTCAAATGCCTTAAAATTTCATCTCTTCAAGAGGGACTTAAGATCTCTTGAAAAAACTTCTGCGGATGTTCCTCGACTTCAGAAACAATGGTGTCGTGTATTACTCTATCTAAAAACTTTTAATTTTGTCTCTATTAAATTAAAGGTGATTGAGTTTTGTGACCATCATATTAGACACTTACTTTTAAAATAACACAATAGCTTTAGTGACATATTAAAATCAAAACATCTTACATTTTTATCCTTTCAAAAAGTAATATTTCAATTTTTTTTAGGAAAAACTCATTTACATTCAAAACTCTAATACGTGCGAGTGATCAAATTAAAAGAAAGATTTAGCGAATTAAATGGTTCATTTATATTTAGGAGAAAATGTTTTTTTTAGAATGAGACCAATGTTAGAGTTTGACTTGGATATGAATCTCACCTAGAACAAAGTGAAGAAACCGGAATGGCTATTTTCGAAAGGATAAGTGTTTGGAGTAGGCCGAGAGTCATTAGGCCCAAAGCTGAACATAAAAAAATACTTATCCTATGGGCTCAGCCCCATAGTTTCTAGGGTTTACGACTATAGGTGTGCATAGCTAGGGATCCCAGTGTAATCACTTTGAAAACAATTATGAGAACTAAAAGAGTTCTTCGATTCCTGCCTGTGGATGTAGGTTACATCAACGAAACCACGTTAATACTTTGTGTCGTTTTATTGTTTTCTTTGCTTGCTTTCTTCACAGCTGGTATCATAGTATCGGTTGTTCGAGCGGCTAAATATGTTCGAATGAACATGGTGTGGAAGGTAAAGATGAAGGCTCTTTGTTCAATAGGGTTGTGCGGTGACATTGGAAAGAGAGGCAAAATTGCTTAAGGATATGACGGCTGATGTGAAGTAAAATGTTTTGGCAAAATTTGAGAATATTAAAGATCGATAGATTCTATATTAATGAGATGAATAAAAGTCAAGAAACAATAATAATCAAAAAAGTGCCGAATGATTGTATTAATCACAGATCTAGAAGAGTTCTTGAATACGGAACTTTTCTGTGAGAGCTTCAAAATTTGTAACCCTAAAGTTACATACATGCTATGTATAGAGACTATTTAGATACTAAAACCGAACATGGACAGACCCATTTCGAAATAAACAAACCCTAATAGCACACATATGACACAACACTTTATTAGACCTAACATTCTCCCCCTTTGTGTCAAATCGTAAGAGAGTCTTTACTATTGCTTTTGCGCTTCAAAAACTTTAGGCATAATTTTCAGAAGTGATGCCCTGACAGCTAGATACCATTGAATCATGTCCGACACACATTTCAAATCAGAATACGGGTTTGCCTTGTTCCATTTAGCCCTTGACATAATCTGATTCATAGCACTTGTGGAATACAAGTGTTTGTCCCTCAAAAAGAACATGCAATTTTTCAGAACTACACCCTCCACCTTCTTATACACGATGCTCCAATATTCCTTGTCAATCAATCCACCAGGCAGATCTTGGATATCCTCAGGTTCTTCAAATGGCTTCACTATAGGTCTTTTATTCAGAACTGAGGCAATCTCAATATCCATTTTCGCAATCTCCAGGATGTAGCATTTAATAATCCTCTTCAGATGGTTGAAAATAGGCTCGTATTTCTTCACATCCTTCGCAGGTATGTTGAATAATGAAATCCAATCATATGGATTCATGAAAGGCAAATCATCCAAAGTAAACTCATGAAGCACATGATTCGAACCCCGATATCCTTTGAAGTGAATATTTAGAAAGTCTTCAGTTTCCACAGGAAGTCTGACCTTCATACCTACGATCCACTTTATACTCCAGGACTCATACTGAGGCTTTCCATACTTGAGATAAAAGTTGAAGATTTTTATGTTGATCGTGTTGTTGGAGATTGGGAATTTTTCAATCTTTTGGAAGCATCGGAAAAGAAATGCTCGTGCGGTGAGGGGAAAGTCCAACTGGCATTCGATATCATTACAGGTATCAAATGATGTCTACGGTTTCAACCCGTATAGCTCCGGAAGTTCAATAGTTTCCTTCTGAATTCTCTGAATAGTCCAAGTAGGAAACAAGGAATTATGACTTTCAAGAATGAAAGCTGAATTTTTTACTTCAACCTCTTATGCATCAAGCTTTTGTCGAAGAGCATTGAGATCATCAAGTTCTTTATCACGTTTCTTCCTTACAGGCTTTTCAAATTCAGACAAATCTTCTTCTTCATCATCCTTATCAATTTCTTTTCCCTTATCTTTCTTTGAACCAGAAGCTACATTATCCTTCTAGATCAATATCTTCTTTTACCTTAACCTACTCTTTGTTTCGAAGGAGCACGGCTTCCCGAAACACCAAGGATATGATTCAGCAAAGCGAACATTGGCTTAAGTTTTTCCGAAAGAGCAAGGCGTACAGTATCATTGAATGTATGAGATCTGGTCTCCACGATTCTCAACAGTCTTTGATAAATTTCGGAAGTGTGAGCCTTATAGAAAACTTTCTTGAAGCCGAGCAACTTCTGATTTAGCATGCTTCAATTTTTCAGTCAGAACTTTTGCCTTCTGGGTCTGCTCTGCTAAGGAATCCATGATTTTGTTTTCTGCTGCCAAGTCAGCCTTTAACTTATCAAGTTGAGTGGTGATGATTGAATTCAGATCGACGTTGTCCAACTTGATATCAGCACGGATTTTTTATAGAGCTTCTTTCTCTGCCTTCAAAGAAGAACCAAAAGCTTCAATAACCTTATTCATATTGGTCGTGCTCTTGTCCAAATAGGTCCTAAAATATGCCATGAAGTCTTGACTTCGGTTTGTAGGAGTAGAACCTTTGACACAACTTCGTTTATCTTCTTATTTGAAGCTTGAGCAGCCTTAGTGGATTCTTCAATGACCTTTGAATTTACACATGTGAGCATCTCCACAGTTGCTCAATGAGTGTTCAGAATATTTTCCCACTTTGAAGTAGAGAAGGCTTGAGAGTGATCTAAGAGTGAGTCAAGCTTTTTTGTTAACTGCTTGAACTAACCCTTTGTCATGGGATCTTCGTCTTCATCGATGTTGATGGTGAGATTGAAGGGGTGAAAAACGAAGTCTTCGATTGGTTCTTGTTCATCTCCGAACATTATTTCTTCATCCTCATTGAAAGGAGAAGTAGTAGATGTGCCTGGTTCGGAAGTCACACCGATATTGGCATTTTCCCTCGTATCAGATATGTTGGCAGGGATACCTGAAGTGTGTATCTCCTTTGAAATGGATTTGACTACAGGGACTTTCGGTGGAGTGGAGACTGATGATGTAGTAGGAATGGTGGAATCAGTAAAGATAGGTGAGGATAGAGAAACTGAAATCTGAGGAAGAGACATTCCCACAGAACTAGTTGGTGGTAGAGGAGCGATGGATGAAATAAGAATTATGGATGTAGTAGGCAAGGATGTCATCGGTAAAGTAGGAGGAATAACAGGTGGTGATGATGGAGTAGTAGAGAGGTTCATAAATGGTTCTTTCAGAATGTTCCCAAAAATGTCAGAAGTTGGAACAGTAGAAGATGGTGGAGAAGATACCTTCGGAATTTGTTCTGTAGGGGTTGGTTCCGAAGTAGCAGCAGTATCCTCGTCCTCATGTCTGAGTGTATTGTCCTCTTGAACTTCCGTAACAGTTCTTGATTCTGATTCTTCTTGAAATACCGGAGATGGAGATCTCGGTTTCTCTGTTGGCTTCTTCATTTTCTTTGGAACTCGTACACTTTCAGAAGGAGCAGCCTTTTCTTTTCGTTTACCTCCACATTTTGGTTTGTTGCTTTCATCAATCAACTTCCTAAGCTCAACAGGCATTGGGCGAACACCAGAAGAGGGTAACTTTTGATACTCCCTCACAATGGTGTTGTCCAGTGGAACCTTTTCCAACATTTCGATAAGAATGGAACCTACAAAATCAAAGTTTTTGGGATCCGACATCACAAAAGTAGACATTTGTAGTGTCAAAATCTCTGCCATTTCAGAATCTTTCATCAGAGGGACCTTAAAATGACCAAGAACCCAGTTGACCACTATTGACCAGAATCGAGCACACGAGATTTCAGTGTGGGGAGTAGAGGAACTGGTGCTCTAAACCAGTTGAGTCCAAATAACTGCCCCATAGTCAAGATTGATACCATGGTATAAGCCGTAGATTAGAGTGTAGAACATCTTGCTAGCACTTTCAGACACAGAAACCCTCTCCGACAGGATCTTCAATAGTAGGGTAAATAACCCATTCCATATCGGGGGTAAGAAATATTTCCTAAACTTGGAGAGCAAGGTGATGTCATTGGAGTACCCCATCTGGTAGAACATCTCTATCACGGAGATAGCTGGAATCGATTCAGGGTCAACACTGACCTCAGACATAGTAAGCCCTAGAAGTTTGCAAAATTAGGGCTTAGAGATCGATGTTTTATGGTTAGCCACTTCAAAGTTGATAACATCATATGTCTTGTTGTAAATCGCAGTTGAGAATACCTTTGAGAGATGAACAAGAGGAACTATTTCCACCATGGTTAACGCCTTCATCAGTGGCGAGAACTTGAGAGAGTCAATCATAGGCCTAATCAGTTCGTTGTAGCGTGTGGCATCAAGGTCAATGATCATGTTCTGGTTGGGTCTGACAGAGATCATGATGACAGAGGCAGACTGGTCGGTGAAGGAGATGGAGGAAGGATGAACCTGCCATTGATGATGTGTGAGAGACGATGAACAGTAGAGATCAAAAGGGTTTTTTCTTGGAGACTTGTAGAATTCTGTTTGTGGTGAGAGAAAGTAAACCGTTTGAAAACCCTTTTTATATGGTATATGATGAGTGGTGAGAGAAACCGTCATTTCAAATTCGTGCACGCCAAGAAATCAGCCAATAACACTGTGCCAGCTAATCAATGACTGTCAAAAACTGTTGCAATCAACCAGGCGGTGTCAGGGATTCAAAAATGACGCCAAGATTTGAAGTTATCCAAAAGTCATTAGACGTTTCGGATTCACTATGTTCTGAACAAGTCCTTTCAGAATTATCGTTCTACCTTTCGGTACTGTAAACGTTCGTTCGGAATTGAAACCAGACTTGGTAAAA